TACGTGTTCTCTGTCGAGGAATCGATAAGATTTTAACTTTTTTCTTTATTTTTAACTATTTATATTTACACATAAGGAATCATAATGCTAAATACTAATGAAAAAATTATCTTAGAATATTATTGGAGTAAATGAAATGCCAGAGAATTAAAAATTAAAACAATTATATTATTTGCAATAAATAAGTTATAATTAGTAGCGATATCTTAATAAATATTACTCATTTTCTAAAATATTACTCATATTCTAGAAAATTTTCATAAGATTCTTGCAATTAAAATCAATAGGAATCAATGAAGATATGAAACAGCTTGACTATTGTATCTAGCTAAGTTACTTTTCCCATTCGATGGAAAAGAGCGCAATATGCTTTGAATTGCGAATTTCATATCACGTAACCCGTGCACACTCACGTACATAATGATACTATCGATCGACATTAAATGTAAAACCTGTACAGCGTCTGTATTAGTAAGTAAGATTGAATAGAATCATTACATATTATTTGTATTTTGTTCATTTTGGTCAAAAATCAATGTAACTATCAAATTGTTTAAAAAAAAGAAAAACGAATAAATTATTTTCATCGAAATTAGATGGAATCACACTGTATCCGTACATCCCTGGGTCCTACAGGGTTTAATATCGCGAAGGGTAGCCGAGAGGAAGGAAGATAGGGACGACCCTAAAGCGAGGGAGTGCTGATGCTAAAGCCGCGAGCACGAAGGGACCTTCAAATAAAAAAAAAGGTAGGACCTACTGAGCAAGCAAGTGAACAAGAGAGAGAGAGAAAAGGAAGGAGAATCCGGTCCCCCTTCTTTCGAGACCAGGGAAAGGCCGCACCCACGCAGTTCTTGAAGATCATGCTAGGTCCCCGCTGGCACAGCCCTGAGCATATAAGTAAACACACCAAAGTTCTAGTACTTGAACATGAGCGAACATTTTCCATGAGGTTGGATATCCGTGAAACACAAATGCTGGTCACTCATATAAGCGGAAAGGCTTTCAAGTCAACCATTGGAAATAATAAATACAAAGAATTTGGATTGGAAATTATTATGAAAAATATAAAATTCTAAATTGATAGTTTTTAACAATGCAAGATGTGTGAATAATGTAAAATATATAAAAAAACAAATGAAACATACCGTATATGATATACGAATTTGATCATTATACTCTGATCGCACGATACTTGCACAATATCGACGAAGTTGCGCTATGTTTTCGCTGTGCAATCTTCAATCTTCACCTTGTCTTTAAAGTGAATTCTCATTTGCCAGTAGTATAACGGTTATATATTATAACAATACTCGAATGTAAGATAATCAGAATGCACATGCTTGGCCAGCAAGTTGGTCGCTTAGGTTAAGCCAAAGTCAACACGTGGCAACATCGCGTTACAGCTGTCATACGCGTCACGCACCGAGTCAAAGCTCAACTTATTCTACATAAGTATTTTATAAGTTAGTCGAGAGATCTGTCTCTCATGACACAATACGAAACAACTAGCTGGAAAGAAATTGCACATTGTACTTTTGATCTGTAGAAAAAATCATTTCTCCGTTAAAGGATAGCATTGTACGGCCAGGGTTCTACTGGCTCCGTGTCGGACTACCTAGCGTTACCTCGCAACATTCTCATGCCATCAACTTCCCTCTCCCGAAATCCCAGACGGGAAAGTGAGTTTCGGAATATGATTGTTAATTTTACGTAACATACAGCTTGCTTGCTTGCTAGGAACAAGTTCTCCCTCCTGCTTTTATTCAGATCTCCATTCCTTATCCAATTTGAATTTTCATGTCATTAGTTTTCCAATAAAAAAAAATTATTTCTTAAATTTGCTGTTCTAATTCTCACGCTGTTTGTGAAAATAATTTTCGTTCTCTCTCTTTCTCTCTCTCTCTCTCTCTCTCTCTCTCTCTCTCTCTCTCTCTCTCTCTCTCTCTTCGTATGGAAATGAATTGCACGAATGCTAACTGCGTGAATATTTTCAAAAAATAAACCAACGTTATCGCAGCAATGTTAACTTTACAACAGCAACGAAGAGTGGGAGCCAGAAGAGAAATAAAGAGAGACTGACAGTGAAAGAGAGGATGGAGAGATAGGGTTAGTCTGTATCAACTGTGCACCCTTATCAATTGGAAAATTGGTGTGTGCAGTGGGAGCGGAAAAGGAGGGGACTCGACTACGTTCAACTGATTGGAGGGGGAAGAACGATTAGGTTTACGCGCCTCCTAGGGGCGTATATATCAAAGGGACAAAATAGGGGCTATGTAGAATATTAGATTCATGTATAATTTTCGTTTCTATACCTTTATCGATCATCATCGAAGAATCTTCTAAAGTCAGAAATTGTTCTAACGATCTGCATTGTCTATGCACCCTCGGCAAATTAGAAATTTCGAGCCGATGAAGGTAGTAGCAAGAGGAGAAGGGTGTTCATACAAAAGCCAGGGGCGTATCCAAGGAATAGATGGGAGCCTTTGTGTGTACGTTGTGAGGAGAACCGAAAGAACGAGCAAGTGAATCAGCGAGAAAGAATACGAACGAATGCCAGAAAGGAACGGAAGAAGAGCGACTCAGACGTTTAGGGCGCATGCGTCATTCATCGTGGGCGTCGGGAATGTGTTGACACGAGAACCTGAGAGAACGCTGTGGCCCTAATGCCACGACGGTTTGTGTTATCGTCGATACTGTTCCCATGCTGCGGGTCCGCCCTGTCTTCGTGAAATCTGGATTTTTCATCCTGACGAAATTGAATTTCTATTCATGTCAATTGTATAGAAATTGATAATTCAGAAATTATTCAGATGATAAATACAGCAAGAACAAATATTCAAAAATTGATTAGAGTTTAGTTAGTTTCTCTAATCTCAATTATAATTGTTATATATATATATATATTCTTTAAACTACCATCTTTTTTAATTATTTACTATCTTTTTTAATATATTACCATCTTTTTTAATATATTTAATGCAATTCTATCTGTAATATTTCATAATATATTTTTAAAGGAATATTCATTAAATATTCAGAAATTTTTATAAGTTTTTTATTTAAGTTTTCTTTTAATGGAAGTTTATTTTTCACAAAACTTTTATCCGATATTTAAAAGTCATTGAGATAGCTATGAAATTACAACAGATGGTGTTTCTTTGATGCAGTAAATTTTATATTATATTATACGTATTATATATATTGTACATTATATATTATATATTATATATATTATAGAAATTAAACATAGAAGATGATCATATGACTAAATTATTACTCTTTTCATGATGTTTTAAATGTACTATATAATAAATTTTATAGACTATAATATATAAAATAATTTTTAATAAATTAGTATTTATTTTAATATATATATAAAATAAGATAATAAATGAATGTTAGACACATAATATTATTTCAAATTTTACAAATTGGTATTAAAAATGAAACAATTATATGTAATAAATTTCAATTTATATTATAAGATATTAGATTTTATATATGAACAAGATATCATGGAAGAAATATGAAAAATTCTATATATTCATGATAATATGAATTTCCTGAAGTAATAAGAAAGTAAACAATTGTTTACAACTTTTAACTTATTTATTTTATATATTAATCAGAATAAATGAAAATTTAATTTAACTTATATATATTTTTTATATAATTTTTTTATACTATCATAAAAATTAGTTATTCATACATGTATTTGTTTCTTAATCAAATCTTTTTATTCTTATAAATAAATTAGTTTTGTATTTTTATCATATACATACAAATATAGGTTATAATTTCGATTAATAATTATTATTAAGTATCAGTTAATTTAAAAAAAAATATATATTAAAAATAATTTTATTATTAGATATTCTTATCATTAAACATATTGTTATTTTATTATACATACGCATATTTGATGGAACTACAAAGTTTCACTATCAACTATGTATATATAGAAAACTAGTGTTGCTTGATATATACATGTAAACTAAGCATATAATCGATTGCATGTCACATGCGTTTAAATTCAAAGGATAGGCAGTTTCTCATTAAAAATCAGTGATAATCATAAAAATTTGTAACTATAAATGGATGCAATAAGAAACATTTCATTTTTGTACGTTCTCCATTTTCAATGATGTGCCTGTCACTTTCTGACTTGAATTTATTATGTTGGCAATAAAGGTACGTATAAAGTACAATGTATCGCGGCTATGTTTCACAAATACAACGAAATAGCAAAGCCTACTTTAAGAAGTTTAAGAAGAAAGCTTTTGCTACGTACATGTACTTTCATATAAGTAACGTACGCAAATGTACTCCTACATATCCAAACAAACTTGCGTCCCATGTGTACACATATACGTACGTGGTTCGTACATATAACATGTACATGTAATAAATATATATATCTCAATATGAATAAGATAAAGGAAAAAGAAAATGGATAAAAGGGAGAACGTATGGGACAGAGATAAAAAAAAATCTATATCACAGGTGCATATCGGTGCAATCATATATGTACAGTAATATATAATTATATGTATAATTATGTATATGTATGTATATTAATTATCATTTATTGTGCACATAAGGGACATGTTTCCACGTTTTGTGTGCATCCTTTGTTTACAAAGGATACTTATCAAAAATCGAAGATGGTATACCACAATGAAAGCCAAATACGAAACCGAGCGAACAAAGAACGCTGGACAAATGCGTATATTGAATAGTGGGAAACATGGAAAGGATAACACAAAAGGATATCTATGGGTGGGATATTACGGTGGATGCTACAGGAAATTTTTTCAAGAGAAAGAAAAAAATTCAATCATCAGAGAAACGCATTTGAGAAATCTACGAAAAGCGATGGGAAATGTCGGAGAACAGCACACCGTCAAGGGATAAAATAAAAACAAGGTTGAGCGAGCGAGAGAAATAGAGAGAGAGAGAGACAGCGCGCATCCAAATTTCGGAGGGAAAACTCCTACCTTTTACTGGGATAATCTGGGATTTCAGAGCGATGTCATAGCAGAATACGTTGGTTGCGCTAGGCGAAACCGACGGTCGGCGATGGCCGTGCAGCTCACCACTGAGAACACTGAGGTCGCTCCATGTCTCTCACTCGACCCAAGCCACGACCCCGCCCATTATGGGCCTACTGATATTCTTTATTAGGCCGTATTTTAAACCATAAACCACTAAGTGCGTTCATATGTTTAATCAATCTTTTCTTTAAATCACTAAAAATATTTTTTAATATTCCGCGTAGCAATATCTACGTCGTAAAATTATCAGCGTTCTTGGTCACTGACGTCAAATGCTTTCACAAACTTCGCTTATTTCACCGTAAGTTAATGGTGGCACCACTTGCTTGCCTTGAAATAGCCATATTGTTTTCCACCAATATCGATGGAGAAAAGACTTAAACGAAAAGCATAATTTCTTCAAATAATATATATATTTTTATAAAAAAATTTTTTTCATTATATTTGATATCATTTTTCTTCTTGAAATTATTTAATAATATATAACTGATAAATTATACTAGAAATTTATTAATGTTGCGTTTAAAAATAAAAATATATTTATTTCTTTCCGTTTATTTTGTTTAAGCATATCATTAATGTGTATAATATTTGTGTACATATACATACTTTATAAGTTCATAAAGGCCTTCACGATGAAAGAATGGCGAATTGATTGTTTTTTCCCACTACATACTTTTTCAGTTTTTGCATATCATATAGTATATTATAAATATAAATTATCTTAAATATTTCTATAAGTTATATTTATTTTTTATTTTTTAAAGTTATATATATATATAAAAAATCATTAGATTTAATATAATTTTAATCTTAATATAATTTTAATCTATTATAATATTATTATTAAAATAAAAATAAATAAAAATTCTGAATTGAATCAAGTTGTAGAGAAATCACCTGGAATAATAGTTCTTGACCCTACTGTCATTATTCATTTTATTATATATATTTTCTTTCATCTTTAAGGATTTTTTAAGCATTTAAACAAATTTTTATATTTTTTCCATTTATCTTTGATAAATGATTTGATAAACGAAGGAAAAAACAATAAAGGATATAAAATCTTTCCTTAAATTCTATAATCACAAGATGTCGTGCTTCACTATTCAACCAATCAGCGCGTTTTACGTTCCGATCGTTATACACAACATTAGTTTATTCAATTATTTTATTATAAAATATGAAAAAAAATTATAGTATTTAATTGTAAAAAAATAATCAATATTTTTAATATATAAAAAATTTCTAAATTTTAATTTTATAAAGATTTTAACGCAAATTTAATAAATTGCTCGAAAAAAGCCGAAGATACCCGAAAGAGATTCAACGTGATTGGATGGCAAAGATCACGTGATCAATGATGCTATGAAATATTGGTTTAGGTTGACTGGTGGGGGATATTCATAATCCTTAAGTTTGGATTGTGTCTTCACAAAGACAAGAGAAAGATTCGGAGGAGCATCGTGCTTACGAGCACATAGTTTACGAGTTCGATCGCAGTATCTGGTTTCAGCGAGTGTTATGTGAGTTGGCGTAGTGGCGAAAGAGAGCTTAAAGTGAAAGGAAAAATCGCATGAAGAGGCAGAAATTGACGGGCGCTGCTTGGCGGATAATAATATCAGTTTTTAAAATAGAATGAACATCGTTTAGTGCGCGTACATATACAGACACGTACGAGATATTGCTACAAAGTTAATTTCACGTTTTACGGACATATATGTACACGCGCGTGCGCGTTGCGAGGGTACGAATACATATAGTTTCGCTGTCGAACGGTGATATATTGTGAAAAATCCGTGTGGAGCAGCGAAAACAAACAACTCGTGTCCGCCATCTTGTGCCTCTCCAGCTACGTTGAAAGGAAAGTGAGAGAATTCGGACCGACGTGTGTGATTTTATTCGGTGAGAAAAAAGAGTGTAAGTAGAGGTGACCAACGGTCACCGAATGTGGTCAAAATTGCAAAAAACACGAATAGGGAGGACTGCGAGAGAACTCAAAGAAAGCGAAACGAGGTAGCATTGCGCTCATAGGAGGTTCGTAGGATACCCCACCAAGTTTATTCCTCCGCGTTCCCCCTACCCTTTTGCCCTGGATCCCGAGATTATTGCGCAGTTAGAAAATTCATTGAATACAAACATCGTCAAAAACTTCGTTGCATCTTTGGAAAGTGACCCGCGGACATTATACGGTAAGATTTTCGACAGGTTAAAAATTGATTATTCCTCCCCTCCTCCTATATTTGCTTAATTTCGATATAATATAGAATGAAGTTTTGTTTTTGTTTTTTCCTTTCTTTATTTTTTTTTTTTATAAATATATTATTTTAAACGTTATATTATGTGAAAATAATGAAATTGATTTTTGAAATTTCTCGCGTTAAATATTGTTATTTTTATCGATTTGTTTGAGGTCAAATTTATGTATTAAATTTACTAATTAAGTTTAATATGATGAAAAAAATATTTATTATTATTTGGTAACATTCTGATATCCTTGATGACGTATAGCAAATTAAGTTAAAATGAAATTAAATATTCTATTTTTTTTATTTTGAGCTATTGCATATTGACGGAAATTATTGATTGACTTTGATAATTTTCAATTTAATTAATTATTTATTTGAATAATAAGATTAAGAAACAATTCATTTTTTCAGACGGGTTGGTTGACTTTGTGAGTGATAAGAGAGACGAAATTATTATAAAGCCATGACGAATTCGGTACCGAAATTGAAAAACAAGGTAGACCGGCAGGGTTCGCCAAATGTCGGCATTGATCGACATCATCACCGTTCGATAATTACACTCAAACAGCCGGCGTATGTCCACATGAGTGGGAGATCTCATGGCAGAAGTTCAACCGGCAGATTAAGCTGCAGCCCACACGGTTCCTCAAAAGGTTCGAGAAATTCACCGTTGCGGTATGAATATAGTCCGCGCGGCAGTCCAACAAACAGTTTTTATGCGGGTGCAAAGTTTTCTGAACCGCCATCTCCTGCGAGCCTTCCGAAACCACCGAGCCATTGGACTACGAGACTGATGAGCAGTTGTCAGCAATCCGACAGGATTTGCGATATTTCAAATCATCTGAAGATGATGTTAAACGTCCAAGCCTGATACATAAAGACCAACAGACCGCTAAAAACGGTTACCAGCTCCTAAAAACAAAGAGACAGGTACGATATTATCGTTCCCCCCTCTTGGATTTAAGGATGTATTTTTTTTCTTGTATGTGATGTCAAGCTGTTCGTTTGAAACAAACAAAAAAAAAAAAACAGAAGTGTTTATAACTGCGCGATACCACAATCTCTAAGAATGATACACAAGTAATATTGCAATTAGAACAGGGCACCAGCGTCTTCAGTTTCATGGTACAGATGCTGCGTGAAAAAAAACTACGATTCGTTCTTTAAACTACTATACAAAACATATAAACATTGAATATGAAAGACGCAGGTGCGTCTGCCGTGAACCATGATTCAAGTATATAATAACTTGTAACAATTCTATTATGCGCCGTCTATGAAGATATAAACGTATGTATTTTAGATTATTATTATATATGATTAACTTGCAGAGACGCATACATATACACAAATACACAAACACTGTTATATTATCTGTTTGACGAAATGGTACGAAGACATAGGCAAAGCTGCATTAGCTATTTTTAGGAACAATAGCTATATATTTTTTCTTTTTTTTCTTTTTTTTTTTTTTTTTTTTCCTTTAAGCTCAAAATTGCTATATCTTAGCACTGTTGATTATGACAGTATATATGTTTTATTCTTTATTAATTATTAATCCGGAATTCTTTCCAAAACAGTTATTTAAATCTTTATACCAGATATATACTAATTGCTTTTTTCTGATTGAAAGATACTTTATATCATAAGTGGTAAACTTTAAGTATTACACATATTCATCTACTGCTCTTTAGCATAAATCTAAGTATCGATTAAGTATAACTTTGACTAATGATTACTCTTATATAATTTCTCGTCTCTCAGATTCAGTTAAGTCTTCAATAGACTCAGAAGTCTTCAATGGCAATAGGTTTTGTAGAATTCACATATTCAGTGAATCTTTAAATCAAATTACCCTTGAAAAATCTATTATAACAAAATTTTTGGTTTCTATTTATCTTCTTTTGTTCTTGAAGATATATCCTCAATCATTTTGCAGCTTTGCAATAGTTCTGCAAAGCATTATATAAGATTTAAGTGATGAGTTTCCAGTGTGCAGATGGATCAATTTTTTTGAAAATTCCTATAATTCATGAATGAGAGAAAGATTGTATGAATGAATAATGAAGAAAATGATTTGATACATATGATGATGGATGTTTTATTATTCTTCTTTTTTTCTTAAAAAAATTTAGCAATTAATTAAGCAATATTTCTGCTTAAATTAACAAAATTTTTAGAAGATTCTCTAAATGACAAATTTAATTTTTATCTAATATAAGAAATCCAATTAGAGGCTTGTCATTAGGATTTCATTATAAATTTTACTTTACTCTTTAGAATTGAATAATGTTTAATTATTTGATATTGAATGAAATTGTGAGTTCACAAAATTTTTTGGTTCAATTCTAAATGTATGTGTTCCAAGAAAACATTTCAAAAATGAAATTTTTTCTGATTTTATATCGTTGTAAATGAATTTTTTTTCTAACATTGCATATGTTATATTATAAAAATAATAACAATAATTTTTAATTTTTTTTGCATTTTCTTTTTTCTGTTTATCTTCTCTCTCTCTCTCTCTCTCTCTCTCTCTCTCTCTCTCTCTCTCTCTCTCTCTCTTTCTTAAAATACAATGTTTAATTATAGATTAACCAAATTATTTAAAGTGATGTTTTAACTAATATATTATTTTCTTTAATAGGAAACATTGCTTTCTTTTTCTTTTTTTTCTTTTCTTTTCTTTTCTTTTTTTCCCTCTCTTTTTTTTAAATTATATTGATTTCATTCTCTCTTTAACAATTTTTTATTTAGTTATTACAATAAATTAGGAATTGGATTTAATATATGCATATACAGATCTCAAGAAGAAGAAAATATCCGAACATGTGTATATTCTTTGTGACAGAATGAGAGTGAGAGTGAGAGTAAGAATGAGAGGGACTGGAAGAAAAATAGTAAAATGTGCAATTTCGAACTTTCAATTACTTTCTCCATCTTTATAATCTTGTAAGGCAAAAAAATTTTTTATCGTATCTATAGCATCTGACAGCATTATTCGTGGAATGGTTGATAGAAATTCTGATGTAAAATCGACGAGAATTCATTGGTTTTTCACTTGATCGGTTCTCATCGAACAGGATTTCGATTTCTTTTTTTTTTTCTTCTTTTTTAACAACCATCGCCAAGCAAAATAGCTTGGAAAACTGCTAATCAAAAAAGCGTAATGGTGTCAAAAGAGAAAAAAAAAAAAAAAATATTTTCTTCTTCATTTTTGTTAATTTTGTAATTCGATTCATAAATAATCTGTTTAATTTTTTCAACTCATATTCTTTCTTAAGACCATATTTTTTTAAGATACTACAAAAGTTCTAAATTTTCGCTCATCTAAATTTCATAGAAGAAAATTATTTCTAATGATAGTATACATGTAATATTGATAAGAACCGGAAGATAACCGATGATCGTTATAATCCTTGCTAAATAGTTTCTGCTCTCGTCGGAAAAGGAATTGTTACGATTGAATAGATAGATAGAAAGAAATGAATGGGGCAGGATTATATCCAGAAAGTGTATCGTTTTCATCGCATAAATATCGTTATTTTTTTAAATAGCAATATAAGTTCCAAAGATTTCTTAAATATGATTTTTGTAGAGAGTTTTCAAGAAAAAATTTCCCGTTTATTTGATGGTTTGGTTCGAAGGAGAAAATACAATGATCTCTCTCTTTAAAAGTTAGGGAATTCTATTTTTTTTTTTTTTTTTTTTTTTTTTTTTTTTTTTTTTTTTTTTTTAATTTTTCGAATCATATTTGTATAAATCATATTAAACCTAATATTAATTGTACATATATATATGTGCCAGGAATCGGATGAAAATTTATCAAGTTCGTTATGAGTTTTTTTCTTAAAGAACTCATCGAACGTGAAATAAACGAATTAAAAAAAACACTGCCGTCCTGTGGGAAATTGATGGAATCGATAGCATTTTGAGCATACGAAGGTTATCGCACAGACGCGCATCGTTTGTGAATTTGTGTAAATAATGGATGTGGAGAATAAGAAAGTTGCAATTTCGAACACTTGTAAATGTACTGTAAAAAAAAAAAATTAATGTACATATGAAGAATGCAAAAGAACGATGTGTATTATGTATATATTATATACATATAAATAAATAAATATATATATATATTATATACATAAAGGAAATAATAATCTCGATGACAACGGCATTTGTTCCGTTCCGATCGAGAGCATGGACCTTAAAAAATTTCGAAACTCTAAGTACAGCAATATGCATAATTACCTGTTCGAGTCTCGCAGAAATGCAAAAAATAGTCAGTATGTGCAAAAGTGAAAAATAAAAAATAAAAAAAAATGAAAAAAAAAAAAATAATCGAAGGTTGCCAGGCTCGATTCAAATGATCTTTGAGACGAACAAAACGTATAATTGGAAAAGAAAAGATGATGTTGTATGATGAAGAGGGAAAGATGAAAGAAACAAAGAATGGCATCCACGTAAAAAATGACAAACAAAAAAGGGCACGAATTACAAAATAATAAATAATCAACCAATTGATAATATTAATTTAAACAATGATAAGAAATTAGCTGTGATGATGATCCTATAGGTACTACTAATTTTTAATTGGTAACTGATCACCATATATATATATACACATATATATATTATATATTATATGTATATGATTAAACGATAAGATGGGCTAATTTAAGGAACGTTCAAGTACGATAATATATAAAATAAAAGATAATACAGTCTTTTTTCAAAGAAACACAGAGAGAGAGAGAGAGAGAGAGAGAGAGAGATATTGTGTGAATAAGAAAAAGGTAGGGGGATGTTTTTCTTTGTCTCTTAAAACGTGGATTTGAATCCCGTGCACTTCTACGTATTATTAATTATCCATAAAACTTAGTGATTAGCAATGTATGCGCGCGATAGTGGAACACAAATAATAAAAAAAAATAATAAAATAACGAGAGCACAGACATTAATATTATTTAGGAACTCTTTCGAGTACGTCCATCTTGTGTGTTGTAATCCACTTTCGTGACTTTAAGATGAAAATATAGCTAGTAGTTCTAATTATAAGAGCCAACGAGAACTTGGGTCGTTTCGAAAAATGGGATCGAGGTCGGAAGGCGGAAATTTTATCTTTGAATGTTGTTTCCGGTTGAAAAAACCGCGAGATATCGTGATATTACTTCTTTCTGTTTTCGGTTTACGCAAATATTTTCCGTGGATCGAATTTAATGCGTATGCCATAAATGAAAAGAAGTAAGTTTTTTTCTTATTTTTTTCTTTTAATTTTTTTTTTGTGGAAATGACAAAAAAACAAGAAAGAACAAAATGAACGATACGAGACGATCCATTCTCGATTGGCATTTATTGTGATATTGTAACGTACAAAAATCGTTCGTCGCGAGTTACACGAAAAATCGAAAAATAATCAATACAAATTTAAGATTCTCGTGAATGCTTCATGGATGTGTCACGGATCCATTTTCTAAAACAAAAAAACAAAAAATGGCACTCTTGCTAAACATTTTACGATCTTATATTTTAAGTATTTTATATCTTAATAATTTTATTGTCTAAGATATTACAACTTCATTATTTTTGTTTCTTAAAATATAACGATAGTTTTAATTATTGTCATGATTAAATCTGACAAAAGATAATTTAAATTGCAACAATAGAGATTAAAGAAATTGATCCTATAACAACAAAGATTAAGAAATATTATCTTTTCTATTTCCTATAAAACTCATTTAATATACATGTATATATATCGTGATATTATGTTTAGATTAAAAAAATTTAGCCACCGAATATTAAGGAACAAGACCTTTATAAGAAATAGACTATTTACTACTTGTCGTGCATCACACGTTCATTGTGAATTGC